AATACTGCTACACCTAATTCTAAATTAACTGGTATCTCTGATCTCATTTATAACTAAAGAACCCAATAAAGCAAAAGATACATGGTACAAATGAACCAGATTTTTAACAAATGAGTTCAATATTTAGGTCAAAGGTTGTTATTTCAGGATATAAATTAATGCTTTCAAATTATTAAGACCAAACTTCAATTTTTACTTATGGATTTTACAGTCCACAGAAAGAATTCTGAAGATGCTAGTCTTAATTTTTGTACTTCACCACTAAACACCTTGTTGCTGTACTCATTCATCAAACATGATATGGTTCATTTTAAATGAACTGCTACTTATTCTATGACTTATGGATTACCATAAAGTAATTCATTTCCAATTATATTTTTCTCTATATTAAATATGAGGTTTATCATAATTCAGTTTAAATTTGAACTATTATTTACTATCATGTTTGATATTAACATTTATTATAAACTTAGTAAACATCAATGTAGTTATACCACTCTTGTAGTAGGCATGTTCTTATGCTGGGTACATATTAAAAAAAATACAACTTTTAAGCTCCTTAAATTAACTCTATCCCTGGCTGGTGTGGTTCAGTGGATTAAGTGCCAGCCTGCGAATCTAAAGGTCACCAGTTTGGTTCCCAGTCAGGACACATGCCTGGGTTGCAGGCCAGGTTCCCAGTTGGGGGCGTGCGAGAGGAAACAAATTAATGTTTTTCTTGCACAGCGATGTTTCTCTCCTTCTCATTCTCCCTCCCTTTCCTTCTCTCTAAAAATAAAATAAAATCTTAAAAAAAGCGAGAGAGAATTCTAGCCTTGTACTTTGTAACTGGGGCTGATGCCGAAGAGGACATGCAGATGGCCAACAGACATATGAGAAGTTGCTCACTGTTGCTAATCACCAGAGAAATGCAAATTAAAACCATAATGAGATATCACATCATACCTGTCAGAATGGCTATATCAATAAACAAACAAACAACAAGTGTTGGAGAGGATGTGGAGAAAAAGAGAACTCTTGTGCACTGGTGGAATGCAGACTGGTACAGCCACTGTGAAAAACATTATGGAATTTCTTCAAAAAATTAAAAATGGAACTGCCTTATGACCCAGAGATTTCATTTCTGGGGATATACCCAAAGAAATCTGAACACTAATTGAAAAAAATATATGCACCCTTATATTTACTGAAACATTATTTAAAATAGCCAAGCTATGGAAGCCACCCAAGTGCCTATCAGCACATGAGTGGATAAAAAAGCTGTGTTACACAGTGGAATATTAATTACTCAGCCATAAAAACGAAGGGAATCTTACCCTTTGCAACTGAATGGATAAACCTGGAGAGTATTATGCTAGGTAAAATAAGCAGAGAAAGACAAGTACCTTATGATTTCAATTATATGTGAAATCTAATGAACAAAATAAGTTAACAAACAAGATAGAAACAGACTCATAGATACAGAGAACAGACTGACAGTTGTCAGGGGGAGGAGGTATGGGGAGCTGGATAAAAAAGGTGAAATAATAAAGCAAAAAAAAACCCCCACAACTCATAGACACAGACAACAGTATGGTGATTACCAGAGAACAAGGGGGCGGGGAGAGGGTAAAATGGGGAATACATGGTGATGGAAGGAGACTTGACGTGGGGTAGGAACACACAACACAATAAACAAATGGTGTTTTATAGAACTGTGAACCTGAAACCTATATAACTTAATTAACCAAGGTCACCCCGATAAATTCAATGCAAAGTTAACCCTTTGTTCTAGATATTAGATATATTTTTGCATGAATATTACCTATGGACATATCATCACCAAAAAATGTTCAAAGTAAATTTTAAAACTGACCTTAGTATATTATGAATAGTGTTTAACTTTACTTCTAAAAATCATTTTACTTTAATTCATTAAATATTAATGCATATCATATAATTGAAATCATAAAAAGGATATAATAGAAAAATCTTAGCATTTTTAACCTCTAAGGAAATATTTGTGTGTGTATGCGTGTATATGTAATTTTTTATTTCCTTAAAAAACTAAAAATGAACTGCCTTTTGACCAGGAAATTCCACTGCTGGCATTATATACTAAGAACCCTAAAACACTGATTCATAAGAACCTATGCACCCCAATGTTCATAGCAGCACAATTTACAATAGCCAAGTGCTGGAAGCAACTTAAGTGCCCAAGAGTAAATGAATGGATCAAGAACTACGGTACATTTACACAATGGAATACTCTGCAGGAGAAAGAAAGAAGGAGCTTATACCCTTTGCAACAGCATAGATGGAACTGGACAGCATTATGCTAAGTGAAATAAGCCAGGCAGTGAAAGACAAATACCATATGATCTCACCTTTAAGTGGAACCTAATTAATAAAACAAACAAGCAAGCAAAATATAACCGGAAACATTGAAATTAAGAACAATCTGACAGTTACCAGAGGGTAGGTGGGAGGGGAAAATGGGGGGGAAAGGGATGGAAGGGTGTTCAGGAACAACTATAAGGGACTCATGGACAAAACCAAGTGGGGGTGGAATCAGGGGAGGGAGGTGGGGATGGCTGGAGTGGGATGGGGAGTGGTGGGGCATAAATGCAGACAACTGTACTTGAAGAATAATAAAATAATTAAAAAATACATAAATAACAAAAATAATAATTTTTATTTCACAAAAAATCAGACTATCTGATAAATATTTAAATATTTTAACATAAAAATGTGAATTTTGATATTTTAGAAAACATTCCATAGAAGGTTTTCACAGAGAATACTTATCACTATATTTGAGATGATCAAGAAAATTCTTCTAAATAACAAAGTTAACTGAAAAATACTTACCACATGTATTTAAAAAGCTTTAATAATATCACATATATTGTTCTATAGGACTTTCTAAAGGGTGCAGTTTTTCAGTGTCACATCTTAATGCTGATTTCCTGAAGGAGCTTAGATGGCAATAGGCATGAATATGTGTTCAAAGGATGATGGATAAATTGCTGGGTGGTTATATATGTTAGGCAGCTGAGGGGCTTTTTATCCTGTACTTGTGTGTAGTTATATACAGTTTTAAGATAATTATGGTCTCCAAGATTGTCTTTTTCCATTTCTTGTACCAGCAATATTTGCCTTGGTTAGAGATTCCCAAAATCCCCAATTATATATCATAAAGTTAAAACAAAGCTGTTGCAACATTTGTTCCCCCCATGTTGCATCTCTAAACATTGTTAATGCCTTGGTTTTCATCATTCATTGATCGGCTGTTTGATATAAACAAAATTTTAAGTATAATTCTAACTGAGTTGGGCACCTGAATCCTGACTGAATACTATGTAGAAAAACTTAATCATCCACATTAGTATTCAACATCCCATTTTACATTCCAAAATATTTTGTTTATTTTTCTCAGAGATGCTAAAAACTTTGTGTACTGGTATTATGCAGAATACAAATAATTTAAGTTTTTATCAGCCATATTTTTCTAATCTATTCTAAACACATAAACAACTGGACTATATAAAATATGTATATGTTAAAATAATACTTTATATATATATTTTTAAAGATTTTATTTATTTTTAGAGAGACGGGAAGGTAGAGATAAAGAGAAGGGGAGAAACATTAATGCGTGGTTGCCTCTCGTGCATCCCCCACTGGGGACCTGGCCTGCAATCCAGGCACGTGTCCTGACTGGGAGTCAAACTGGTGACACTTTTGTTTGCAGGCCAGCACTCAGTCCACTGAGCTATACCAGCCAGGGCCTACTTTTAATATTTTAATAGAAAAAACAGAATGGCATATTATCATATTTAAAATATACTTATTGATTTGAGAGAGGGGAAAAAAAGAGAGAGAGAAACATCGATCGGTTGCCTCCTGTATGTGTCCCCTCCAGGGATGGAACCTGCAACCCTTTCGTCCAACTAACTGAGCCACCTAGCCAGGGCAAGCATATAATTCTTGTAAATCAAATATTGTTTTACCATTACATATTAAACATGTAAGAAATATAAAATAACAGGCCCTGGCAGGATGGCACAGTTGGTTGGAGTTCATCCCATTCACAAAAAAGTTGCGGGTTCTATTCCCGGTCTGGGCACATAGGAAGGCAAACAATTGACGTCTGTCTGTCTGTCTCTCTCTGTTTGTCTCTATCTTCATTCCTCTCTCTCTAAAATCAATAAACATATCCTTGGGTGGGGATTAAAAATAAAAAAAACAAATGAAGGAATACAATGACAAGATTAAGAATAGAGCTGTGTTAAAATATAAGATGATCAAATTAAAATAGTTTAAAAATAAATCATTAAACAATTTTTTAATCCTCACATGAGGACATGTTCACTGATTTTAGAGAGAGGGGGAGGGGAAGGAGAAAGAGAGAGAGAAATATTAATGTGAGAGAGCAACACTGACTGGTTGTACTCCCCCTCCCCCCACCGCCCGCCTCAGGCACCCTGATCAGGGACGGAACCTGAGACCTAGGCATGTGCCCTGACCAGGAATCAAACCTGACTTCTTACAGAGTTCTGTCATTATCATCACTATAAGTTTATTTGTTGTCAGTTTTTAAAAGCTTATTCACCTTTTCCCTACTTCTGATTTAAACTTTAAGTTAAAAAATTGTTCAAGAACACTAATTTAAAAATGAAACTATATGCTTAAAAAATCTGATACCCTCTTTAAGAAAAAAAATGTATGTATAGCCCCATTAGTGCATTTTGAAATAGTTCTTTAAATATTATTTCTGCTTCTTTCTGTTCTCAACGTCTAGGACTCCAATTAAACATTGATTGAATCTTTCTATATTGCTCCTCATGTCTCTGAAGTTCTGTTCAATTTTCTTAAATTTTCTTTTCTGAATTCTTCAGACTGCAAAATTTCTGTTAATACGCCTTCACTTTTTTCTTCCTCCATATGTATACACAATATTGCTTCATAAAGTGTTCAAAATGCAATCTTGAATATATAGAATATACTCTATTCTATACCTGTAAAATGTCAGCAGGGTTTTCTTTTGCAGATGCGACCAACAAAGTATGCCCATTGATGATTCCTTCCGCCAGAAAATACTTGAAGAGCAAAGGAGAATAAACATTATATTTATCCTCTTCTGTAAAAAAGAAAAACAACTATAGTCAGAACCTTACCATATACCAAGCATACTCAGGTGTTTCTACAATGTTTCTCCTTAAAATGAGTATATGATGTGGGGCAATAATCATGTTTTCCTAAGGCACAGTCAGATAGGCTAAGAGACTTATCTCGATAGTCAATGGGAAACAGATACTTTTAATAGAGCCTGACTATCAAAATCATTCTCCATCTACTACACCACCTCTGCTAGCCAGGAAATTTACAGGATTTTGTAGGATAACATCAAAGAAATCAGAAATTCTCTTCTTTTACTAAGATTTTCTCAGGCACTGCACATTAAAATGGCCATATTGCTTAACATTATTTTGTAAACTCACACTGCACTTCTATCATGTCACAATAGTTAGGCACTTAGTGTATACAGCCTGATGATTAATATTTATAATAGCTGTAAAGATAGTATTATTCTTATAGCTTGGTTTTGGATTTTATATTCAATAATAATTTAAATTTGAAGATTTTAATTTGATAGAATTACTATTGTAAATTTGTACTAAATGTTTTCTTAGAAAATAATCGTTTTATCCTTTATTATTCCCTCATCCTTCCTTCTTTCTGAATTTTAATGAAAAAATGGTAAATCAGTTTTCATAGACAAAAATGAGTTATATTTCTGAAGTTTTGTGACAGAATGACAATTTGAATATATTTTTACTCTCTTAATATTACTGATAAGCTATATGCCTACACTTTTGTATCAGTTTTCTTTCCTTTAATACTTTGAACTCAACACAAACAAGAGACAAAGGTAAATTTATTGTACTATCTAAAAAGAAAGTAGCCATTATTAATTTATCCAACAAATATTAATTGAATTTCTATAATATATCAGACATCATTAATATTTGTAAAAATCACACTATTAAAAAATATTCCTAAGAAAGCTTGAACTTGTGGTAATTACAGCATTCTGCAAAGCCTCTTGCAGCTATAATTATAAAACCTGGATAAAATATCATTAAAAATAATCATTGAAGGCACTGGAGAGCAATGAAAATCAGGCAGCAACCACAGCTGCTTTGTTTTGAAAGATATGATTATGACCATGCAAGAATTTCAAGACGGGCTTCTTTGCCTAAGGTGCTCCCACCTGGCTTAGCTCTGGAGGCATTAAGTCATGTCCTTTCCAGGTTGAGTTGGCAGAATACACATGGAGCTGAGTGTTGTCAAACAGGTGAACATTTTGGGGGAAAATCCTGGAACAGAGTTCCAGAAAGTTTATTGACTGTGCCCAGATCCCTAGCTGACCACTAAGGAAGCAGGAAAAAGAGAACAGGATAAAGTTGAAAGGCATAACTGAACCACGTGAGATTTGCAAATTTGCTGCTCTGTTGAAGGTCTGCTTTCCCAATCTAGAGCAGAATCTTGTGCTATAAGAAGCTGAAGTCTGTTGACTTGAGGTGTCAGGAGCCAGAATTCAGTGCTGAGGAGCATAGAAAGTGTGAGCTCCAAAATCTGGGTATACGTTTCGTATATATATTTGGCTGTTGAGTAAACTTTGTGATTGTAATGAATAATCCTGTCTGACCAGGCTGAAAAAGCAACATTTGAAAGGTGGAAAACTGGGTAGAGATATTATCTGTGGCACAGTATACCTAAGTGAGAGTAAATAATTTAAGCTCAGGCAAGTTAAGTATCTATTAAAACAAACAAACAAAAAAACCCCCTAGGAATCCTCAAAAGAACATAATGGAATTTAGAATCACTACAATGCATAATTTACAATGTGCAGATTTCAACCAAAAATTACTGAATATGATCCATACAAAAGAAAACACAATCCAAAGACACTGATTCCAAATGTCCTCCAAAGTTGGATTTAAAAGACAAAGACTTCAAAGAAGTTATAAATATGTTCAAAGAATTAACAAAAATGTATCATAGGTATTTTAAAATATGGTATCAATAAGTAAACAGAAAAATATTAACAGAAATGAAAATTATAAAAGCAAACCAGATAGAAAATTTAGAGCTCAAAATCATGATTCTTTAAGTAAAAAATGTTCTTGGTGATCTCAGAGGTAGTTTAAAGATAGAGGAAGGGAAAATAAAAGAACAAACCTAAAGGCAGATAAACAGAAATTTTAGAATCTGAAGAACACAGAAAAGAAAATTAAAAAAGCTAAATAGAACTCCAGAGACATGTGGAGCAATACAGAGAAGTCCAACTAATGTTTAATTGGAGTTTTAGACATTGAGAAAGGGAGATAAGCAGAAACAATATTTTAAAAAGTGATGGCCAAAATACGGCTAAAAATTTCCCAAATTTGATGAAAGTATTCAGTTACAGACCCAAGAAGCACAAAAGATCTCTACTAGGGTAAATGCAAAGAATGTCAAATATAAACATCGTATTTGCTGAATCCCAAGGACAGAGGGTAAACCTTGAAAGCAGCAAGGGAAAATGACGTGGCATACAGGGGTAGAGCAATATGATTAACACTGATTTCTCACCCCAAACAATGAAGGTCATAAGAAATGGTAGTTATATATTCAAAGAGCTTTAAAACAAACACAACTGAACCAGAAGTTGTAAGTTCACAAAACATATTCAAAAACTGAGGTGAAAACTGAGGCAATTATCAACAGCTGACTTGTACTACAGATCATTAAAAGCTGAAAGAAAGTGACACAACGTGGTAATTTGTATTTATAGGAAGAAAAAAGAGTACAAATGATGATAAATATATGGGAAATTATAAAACACTGATCATGTACATGTGTATTTATACACATATATGCATGTAAGCAGATAAATTTTTTCTTTGAAATTCCTAAAAAAGAGAACTGCTTAAAGAAAAATTGACAGAAATAAGAAAAGATAGAAATAAATTATATTTGGAGATTTCATCATACATATCTTAGTATCTGACAGAAAAACTACAGAGAAAAATCATTATGAAAATAGAAAATATGAACAACCTCATCAACCACCTTAATCTGATTATATCACATAGTTCCAGAGAAAAAAAATTCTTTTTTGTAAATGCATCTACAATTTGCACCATAAACCATATGTTAATCCAATAAACAAGTCTCAATGCAGTTCAAAACATTAAACTCTTAGAGTATGTTTTCAGATTATGATGGAATACAATTAGAATTCAATAATAAAAAGATATATAGAAAACTCCAGATATCTTAAAATCTAAGTACACATTTCTAAGTAACTATAGATCAAAAAGCAATAAAAAAGAAAATTAGACAATATTTTGAACTAAATGGTTACAAAAATACAATACATAAAAAGTTTTGAGAAATGCTAGAGCCAACCATAGAAGAAAATGTATAGCTTTAAAATCTTAATTAGAAAATAAAATAGATCAAATCAATGAACTAAGTTTCATTTTAATAAGCTAAATGATAAGGTCCTAAGAATTAAAACAAAGAAGATGCAAAGAAATAATAAATAGAAAAAAATCAACTAATGAAAACCTGGACCAAACGGAGAGCGAGAAAGAGAGGAATGTGACACTAAGAGCTGGTTTATGAAAAGATCAGTAAACCTTACTGATTAATCTCCACCTAGGCTGATCAAGTGAAAAAAGAGAAGAAACACAAATGATCAGAACTGAGAATGAAATAGATTTCACCAAAGATCTTATAAACATTGGAAGCATCAATATAAGTATCATGAATTTATGTCAAAAAATTTCACAACTAGGAGAAATGAAAAAATTCCTTGAAGGATACAGATAAGTATGACAAAAGAAAAAGGAAACCAAAATTAAATTCATAATAAAAACTACCACCTCCACCCATGCACAGAAACTTCAGGCACAGAAAGCTTCACTACTAAACTCAATCAAATATTTATGTTAGATATACTAATTCTAAACAAACTAAAAAAAGAGAGAGAAACTATTCTTAATTCACTTCATATGTCTACTATTATTCTGACACCTAAGCTAGACAAAGACTTTAAAAAACTACAGACCGTTTAAGGAAGAAATTATATCAACCCTACAAATACTCTTCAGAAAAAAAGGGTGGAGAGAAACTTCAGAACTCATTTTATAATGCCATGAAACCTGGATACCAAAACTAGACCAAGACATCACAGGAAAAGAAAGCTACAGACTAATATGCCTCATAAACACATATGAAAATAATCCTTAAAATATCAAAAAATAAAAACCAGTAATACATTAAACATAATATAAACTTACAGAAAACAGAATGGTAAAATGGAATGCTTTTTTCCTGAGATTGGGAACAATGAAAGGATATACACTCTCAACACTTCTAATCAATACCTTTCAGAAGGTCTCAGCCATGTAATAAGCTATGAAAAAGAAATGAAAGGCATACAGGTTGGAAAACATGAAGTAAATCAGTTTTCACAAGCAGACACTATCACTTGTGTAGGACACCTTAAGGAATATACCAAAAAACTTGTAGGACTAGTAAGTCAAGTCTATCTCGTTGTAGCATGGAAAGTCAAAATATAAAAATATACTGTACTTCTAAAAACTAGTAAAAAATACTAGAAATTGAAAGTTTAAAAATTCTATTTACAGTTGATTCTAAGAACATGAAAAATTTTAGATAACTTAAAATATGTGCATAAATGAGCTCTATACTTATTTCTTTTTTATTAATTGTTTTTATTGTTGTTCAAGTACAGTCGTCTCCATTTCCCCCCCCCCCCCACAACCCCAGCCATCCTGACCTCCCACTCTTGATCCTACCCTTTGGTGTTGTCCATGTGTCCTTTATGCATGTTCCTGAAAACCCCTCCCGCTTTCCTCCCCTTTATCCCCTTCCTCCTCCCCTCTGGTTCCCATCAGTTTGTTCCTAACTATGGTGGTTCTGTGAGTATACAAATGTGCAAAAACTCACTAAAATATACACTCAAAATGAATCCATTTTATTGTATGTCAATTATAATTCAGTAAATAAAGTTGGTTTCCTAAGTTATGACTAAAATACCAGGTAGTAACTGGTTTATAAATC